CTGGCTGGGAGTCAAACCTGTGACCTCCTGGTTCATAGTTCAATGCTCAAACACTGAGCCATGCCGGCCCAGCTTGACTATATTCTTTAATTGCAGCAGAAAAGACACTGGGGAACTCAGAGCTGATTGTAGGAGTCCTCCTGAACCAGTTTACATTCTGAACAACAAAGATGGCCAAGCTACTCAAAGGGGCTAAGAAATTTTAAAGAAATTCTCTTCTATAGTACTAAAGAACTGTTTTAAAAACATTTCTGCTTTCTGCACAGTGTCCCTGGTCCCTAAGTCCTGCTTGGTGCAAAGGGCCTTGGGGAGGAGAGATCCTATATAATAAAGCCCTAATATGCAAATTGACCAAATGGTGGAACTACCGGTTGCTATGACATGCACTGACTACCACGGGGCAGACACTCAATGCAGGAGCTGCCCCCTGATGGTCAGTGAGCTCCCACAGGGAGAGCACCACTCAGTCAGAAGCCAGGCTCATGGCTAGCAAGCGCAGCAGCAGCAGCGGGAGCCTCTCCCACCTCTAAAGCAGCGCTAAGGGACTAAGCTGGCAGGCAGACATCCCCCAAGGGGGACTGCGAAAGGGCACAGACTGAGTTGAGGGGACACCCACCCCCCCAGTGCATGAATGTCATGCACTGGGCCTCTAGTATAAGAATAAAACCTAAATTAGTATCTCAGTAAATTATCATGCACCATACTGAGAACAAGAAAAAAGACAACATGATTAATTTTTGAATAAGTGGCAACAATAGGAAGTATCCATTTTATATATATATAAATTGTTGTACACCTGAAACTAACGCAATGTTATATGTCAATTATATCTCAGTTTAAAAAAGAATAATGTTGACTATTGGTTTGGGATACAAATTCACCTGAATTGTATTCTGGTTATTTTTAATTTGACTTTTTAAAAGAATACATTTTGTAGGGTGTGGAGTCAGGCTCTAAAAGATTTGTTAAAGGAAATAATTGACTAAATATGGCAAAACAACTTGAATTCATGTCTCAATGGTTAATTTATGATGCCGCCTTTGTCATGAATTAGATTATTATATGTACTAGAGTGTACTTCTTGAGTATATAATGCTTTCCTTCTTGTGCCTCTCCATCCATGTGCTATTACATCTCTGAAATTTGGGTCATTTTAATAATAATAATAATAAAGTAATAACAATATATTTTAAAAGAAGTATCTGAAAATGCCCTTTTGAAGAACAGAATGCCCAGCCTTGAATTAAACTGGTATCATCTGGAAGTCCTGGGTAGTTGAATCTTTTCAACCATTTTGAGCATGAGCCATGGTAAGAAATAGATTTTTTAATTGGAATTTACCAATTAAGGGGCATGCAGAAGGCATGCATACACATATATGTGATTCAAACAAGTTTCCCCCAAATGGACTTCTCTTAAGTGATGGAATCCACTGACATTATTTTGTCCTATGCCATTCCATTCCACTCAAAGAAATGCTGGCCAGTGCCCTGCTAGTTATGGCCAAGGACTGAGTTACAATCCATACTATATAAAAGGCTAATATGCAAATAAACTGAACAGCGGAACAACCGGTTGCTATGACATGTGCTGACCACCAGGGGACATGCATGGAACATGGAGGGTGTTGCCTATGGCAGGATGGTGGAGCAGGTGAACGGGGGTGCCAGACCAAGGTTGGTCCCTGTCATTGGGGCAAGCCTCTGGTGGTTACTGAAAAGTCTTTGCACCTGTGTGCTGCAGTCCCACCCCAGCACTTGCACCTGCTGCTGATGCCGGCCCTGCTCGCACCCACTGCTGGTGCCTGGCACCTGTCCCGATCACTCAGTGCTATCAGTGGGTGCAAGTGGCGGCTGCCAGCCCCGATCACTCCTGAAAGCTTCTCCACCTCCCCCTGCTCCTGAGGAGTGATTGGGGCCGCAGCTGCCACTTGCACCTGCTGATGGTGCTGGCCCCACTCGCACCCACTACTGGCGCCGGCTCCCATCGCTCCACGCCTTCAGCAGGTGCAAGCGGGGCTGGTGGGAGTGGGGCGGCCAGCAGACAGGGAACCAGGGTCTGTGGCGAGAGGGGCCAGGTGGGGGCACCAAGACCCGCCCCTGTGCCTACCACAGCCTCATGGCCCAGAGTTACTTTCAAGGTGCACGAATTTGTGCACTGGGCCCCTACTAGTTTAATAAACACTAGGCTGGATGAACTCTGAGGATTCTCAGATTCTATGATATATGTGGGGATCATATAAATAACTACAATATGGCTATAGCTGGTTTGGCTCAGTGGATAGAGCATTGGCCTGCAGACTGAAGAGTCCTGGGTTCCATTCTGGTCAAGGGCACATGCCTGGGTTGCAGGCTTGATCCCCCAGTAAGGGGCATGCAGAAGGCAGCCTATCAATGATTCTCTCTCATCACTGGTGTTTCTCTCTCTCTCCCTGTCCCTTCCTCTCTGAAATCAATAAAAATATATTTAAAAATAAATAAATAACGGCAGTATTTAGGAGGAAAATGTTTCCAAGAAATGCTCTTCTTCCCCTAGCTGGTTTTCTTGAGTGGATAGAGCATCGACCTGTGTACTGAAGGGTCCCGGCTTCAATTCTGATCAAGGGCACATGCCTGGGTTGCAGGCTTGATCCCCCAGTAAGGGGCATGCAGAAGGCAGCCAATCAATGATTCTCTCTCATCACTGGTGTTTCTCTCTCTCTCCCTTCCTCTCTGAAATCAATAAAAATATATTTTTAAAAAAGAAATGCTCTTCTTCTATTTTTGTCTCCAATTCTTTATTTTGAAAATTTTTTAAACCACAGAAAAGTTCAAAGAATAGCACATTAAAAGCTCTATACCATTCACCAAGATTGACAATTTTACCACAGTTGCTTCTCTCTCTCCAACACACACACACACACACACACACACACACACGTATTTTAAGTTTATTCTTATATTTCCTGAACCATTTGAAAATAAGTTGCAGACAACATTTTATCTTCTTTTTTAAACAAATTTTTATTTTTTAAATTTATTTTTTGATGTTTTTTTATTTATTTGAGAGAGAGATAGAGAGAAAAAAACATAAATTTGTTGTTCAACTTATGCATTCATTGGTTTATTCTTGTCTGTGTCCTGACTGGGGATTGAACTTGCAACCTTGGCATATCTGGATGATTCTCCAACCAACTGAACTACCCGGCCAGGACCCAGAAGTGTTCAATCTATTCTGCCCCCTTTCCATAATTCTAACTACCTTCTCCAACAGTGGAAAACCTGGACTCCATTATTCACAATTTATTTACTTATTTGCTTAATCCTAGAATGCATAGGAAGTAGTTGCAGGCTTGCAAACTCATGCCTATGCAAAACAAGCTTTCTTACTATAGTTCAATATTTAGTATTAGAGTGCTTTAGCCAAAGGGCATGCAGTCCAAATTCTGGGTATCAAATTACTTGGATTAATGCCGCCTCCCCAATGTGATTATGTTATTTGAAAAAACACTTCAGTTAATGTGTTTGTTTGTATTTAATTTTTAAGGTCCTCTCAATTGTTATTTTAAACCACTGAATTCTACGGTGGTTTATCATGCAGCAATGGATAAACCAGACACCATGATATCGCATCACAAGGCACTTGATGTCAGTTTGTCCCATTATCAGGGATGAAAAGTTGGATCATTTGCTTAAGGTTTTATCTATCAGGTCGCTCCGTTATAATGAATAAGTAATCTGTGGGGTGTCTCATCTTCTTTCTTTAGTGACTCTTGCTACATGAACTTAAGCCCACCATAGCAACAACAATAGAGGAACCCTGCTTCCGAGTTACATTTTCTCTGTTGAAGTACCTGCCTTCATGCCACAAGAATACAGAGAGAAGGTGAGCACCTATTGGCTGATTGCCCAGCGGGTGGGCTCCACAGATGGGAGAGAAGCTGGAAATCCAGCTGTGATGAAAACACTTGATTCTATTTGTAGTTTCACAGTATCTTTGCTTAAAACAGAATGCTGCGTACTCTGTAGGTTTGCCAACTTGTGATTCTGATCTTCAAATTGTGAGATTTGGAAAAAGAAAAAAGCAAAGAGCAGTCTTTTTATTTTAAGCTTTGCAGATGAAGTTAGGATCCGGTGCCCACTGAGAAAGAAGTCTATTAAGGACACTGCTTCTCAATTTCACAGTAATGCGATTGTTTCGTAGCTAGGATGAATGTCCCATTATATAAAACTAGTCAGGTCTATGTTGTCTTCTTGGTTTCATGTCTTTTAAATTCTGCTTTCATCATAATCAATTAAATCATGGTCCTCTTATATCCCAGACTTATAGATGTTCTAGGACAGTGGTCAGCAAACTCATTAGTCAACAGAGCCAAATATCAACAGTACAACGATTGAAATTTCTTTTGAGAGCCAAATTTTTTAAATCTTTAAATTCTTTATTAGTTAAGGAATTACAAATGTGTCCTCATTCCCCCCCAACGTCCTCAATCTGAGGGGTCGACCTCAGCGAACGTACCCCCACTTCTTCTAAGGCCACTACTTCTTCAAAGACTCGCCCAGGCCGATACCCGACTTCTGCGCATGGGCCACGAAGTTTCAATTGCACTGTACGTGCGCGCCCACATGTGGTATTTTGTGGAAGAGCCACATTCAAGGGGCCCAAGAGCCGCATGTGGCTCACAAGCCGCGGTTTGCCGACCACTGTTCTAGGATGAATGCCACATAGTAGGGGCCTAAGTGTGCACATGCATGAAAAAAAAAGAATACATGGGATTCCCATTCTTTCATTCAATCCTCACATAGTTATAGCATGCCCATTCTTCCTGTCATATGCCAGGTCTTATCCTAGGCAGTGAACCACAGATGTTAATAAAACATCTCCAGCTTCAAGGGCTCACAGGCTAGAGGGGAAAGAGAAGGATAAACAATGAATTATAAAACTCAGGGTGGGTGGCAGGCACAGATAGAAATAAATATGCGCTGGGATTATTGTCCTCGTTGTCCTATTTATAAGGCATTGTCTGTGTTTTTTGCAGTTTTAATGACTTTATTTGACAATCAGCGGTTAGTTCTCATCCACACAAACCGTTTGTAGATTTTTGAAAGTGGTGACAGGTACGTAGGTGACCAACACATAGAGCTTATTTGGTGAACCTTCATCCTTATTACATTTTCTGGACAACTGCACCTGGATGTGGTATGAGACATCCCTTATTCCTTTGGCCCAGACAGCTTTGTTGAGCTTGGTATCAATGCCCACATCTAGAGTTCCCATCTTCTCTATGGCAAATGTCCAGATCTTTTTGAGTGCCCAAGGGGCCCGCTTCTTGAAACCCACTCTATGGATGCGCTTGTGAATGTTCATGGTGTATTATCTGGTCACTACCTCATTGATGGCAGAATGGCCCACTTCTTTCTCACCACCCTTCTTTGAGGGAGCCTTTATGCCAGGCCTAGATTGGAAAGAAAGGGGCGTTGTCAGTTTATTCACAATTTAGACACATCAAAATAGTATTCACAGGCCCTGGCCGGCTTGGCTCAGTGGATAGAGCATCAGCCTGCGGACTGAGGGGTCCCAGGTTCGATTCCGGCCAAGGGCACATGCCTGGGTTGCGGGCTCAATCCCCAGTGGGGGTGTGCAGGAGGCAGTCGATCAATGATTCTCTCTCATCATTGATGTTTCTGTCTCTCTCTCCTTCTCCCTTCCTCTCTGAAACCAATAAAGAAATATTTTTTTAAAAAAAATTATTCACAGGAAAGTGCCAAAAAAAAAAAAAAGACAGAATCTCAGTAAGCAGGTGAAAGAACACAGCATAGGTACAGAAAAGACATGATTATTTCAGGTTATAGAAAAGAAATGATATTTCAAGTAGAGGACTCCAGTCTTCTATACATACATGTTAATATCATCACCATCATCATCATTTTTTAAAGGAAGTACTTGAGTAATGTGACAAGTACCTGGGACTCCCAGTGTTGCTAAACTGTTTCAGAGCAGGGCACTGAGTTTTAAAGGAACAGAGAAAAGGGAGGTGAGAAAAGCCTCATGAAGTTAACCCAAGTAAAAATTACAAAATATGTGTGTATTATGGAGAGAGAAAAAATTACAAAATATTTATGAGAGTTTTCTTAGTTTTAAAAAATAAAGACAATCAAAAAAGGAAATTATTTAACAATCATACGTAAGTCCACCCATAAGCAATGGTAAGTATCTTTGTTTATCTCCTTCCTATTTTTCTAGAATATACATACTTATAAATATATGAAAATGGGACCAATCTGTATATTTTCTTTTGTGACCTGCTTTTTCTCAAATAATAATACTTTGTGAGTATCTCTCTACATCATCCAATGTTCTCCTATGACATCAAATTTAAGGGCAGCACTATATAGAAGGATAGTAAGATGGAATGCAATTGCTGATTAAGCTACAAAGTTAAATACAAATGCAACTATCAGTGTTAGCCTTTTCAGGTAGAAATCATTTGCATTTCTACAGGACAAAAAATATCACTCACAATCTTATCAAGTTAACGTGTAAATATGTAACTTCGTAGTCTGGGCCTAATCAATAGTAATTAGTAAGTTCAAGTTAAATTTCTTTAGACCTGCACTATCCAGTACGACAGCCACTAGCCACATGTGGCTACTGAGCACTTGAAAGGCTAGTGTGACTAACTGAACTTTTAATTTTATTTCATTTCATTTCAATTTTAATTTTAATTGAAAATTGAAGTAGTGTAAACTATTTTCCCATTAAATTCAACCTTATTGTTTAGGTAGGACTACATTTCACTTTAACTGTTGCATCTCATAGATATTGCTGTACTGTACTATACTATGTGTGTCAACTGTGTGAGTCATCTCCAGTATTAGACATAAACTCATTATTTCTCTAGTTAGTGTTAATGGATTGAGTCAATTCAAATTTTTAGCATTAAAATGTGTTTAGCCCTAGCCGGTTTTGCTCAGTTGATAGAGCATCCACTTATGGACCAAAATGCCCTGGGTTTGCTTCTGGTCAAGGGCACATACCTTGGTGGTAGGCTCCTCCCCAGCCCAGGCCCAAACGGGCTTGTTCAGGAGGCAATTAATCGATGTGTTTCTCTCACATAGTTGTTTCTCTCTGTCTTTCCCTCTCTCTTCCACTCTCTCTAAAATCAATGGAAAAATATCTTGCCCGGCCAGCATGGCTCAGTGGTTGAGCATTGACCTATGAACCAGGAGGTCACGGTTCGATTCCTGGACAGGGCACATGCCCGGGTTGCAGGCTCGATCCCCAGTAGGGGGTGTGCAAGAGGCAGCTGATCAATGATTCTCATCATTGATGTTTCTATCTCTCCTTCTCCCTTCCTCTCTGAAATCAATAAAATATATTTTTTTAAAAGAAAAATATCCTAGGGTGAGGATAAAAATAAATGTGTTTATGTTTATTTGAACATTTTATTCAGACAGCACCATTTACCATCATACCCATATAAATCATAACTGGTAACTAAATGGAAATACTTCTTATACTTTAAATTATAATATAATTAAATAATTTTAAAATAAAAAATAAGTAGGATGAATATCAAATACACACACACACACACACACACACACACACACACACACACACACTTGTGAACCCAAAATGCAAATTTCAGTTAATATGGTAATTAGAAGGCATACAACTGAGGCAGAATTGAGTGGAGATGTAGATAGTAATACTACACAGAAGAGGGGGGGAACAAAGGCATTGGAAGAAGTATGTTGTAAAGTTCATATAATTTGCTGCAGCAGACCAAAAAAAAGTTATGTGTAAAAATCATTTAAAGATAATAAAGTGAACAATATTAAGGAAGATTTTCAGCAAATATAGAGTGAATTTGATGAGAACAGTAAAATTAGATACCTGCATTCAAAATTGAATGCCCAATGAAAATTGTTTAAAAAAAATGATAACAAGTTCTGAACTTGGAACTTTGGCCAGCTTTAAAATGGCTTGAGCACTAGCCCATGTGGCTCAGTTGGTTGGGTGTTTTCTGTGCACCAAAATGCTGCCCCGCCCCCACCTGTCAGCCCAGTGGAAGATACACAGCATAGCCATGTTTTTCTCTCTCCCTCTCCCTTCCTCCCTCCAAAAATCAATTTAAAAATCTTTTAAAAAAGGCTTGAATTCCTACACATAAAAGAAAACCAGTTTTAGATGGCAATAGTAAATGAAATTATTTCATTTATTGAAATTTTACTTAAAAATTATAAGGAAAATACTAAAAACTATATTTTACAAAAAAAGAGAAAGATCTTCAATTAAAACACAAAATAATTGCCTGTAGAATACCAAACCTTTCTAACAGTACCTAAGATTAATTGATTTAAAATTGGAAAAATTGCAAGTACTTTTCTTAACTTTGGATGATTCATGTGATATAGGACACTGTCTAGTTAGTATTTTGGGTATATTTTGTTTGAAAGGACTGCCATGCTTGCAAATAAATGCCAATTCATAACCCTCCAAAACAATAGCATAGATATTTTTTTAAATATTTTTTTATTGATTTCAGAGAGGAAGAGAGAGGGAGAGATAGAAACATCAATGATGAGAGAATCATTGATTGGCTGCTTCCTGCATGCCCCCTACTGGGGATCGAGCCTACAACCCAGGCATATGCCCTTGACCAGAATTGAACCTGGGACCCTTCAGTCAGCAGGCCAAAGCTCTATCCACTGAGCCAAACCGGCTAGGGCAATAGCATAGATATTTTAAAATATTTTACATCTGTCAAAGAAGAACCTTAGTTGGATATAAAAAAAAAATTATCATGATGGATGGTGCTCCAGCTGTTAGGTCAAGATTTTGGATCTGTTGAAATTAAAACAAGAGACTGATGTATTTCTGGTGACTTCATATTACTTATGATACACACTGAAAATATTTGTGCTCAGTTTTCTGAAAAGCATCATGGAAACGATTGTTAAAACTATTCAGCATATACGTACAAGTTTTATGACTCATCACCAATTTATGGAACTGTTGAAAGAAGTAGACAATGAATGTAATGATCTTTTGTTTGTTGCCAAACAAAAAGTTTTACAAAGTTTTACTGGGCTGTTAACAATAACAAAAGGAGTGTTTGCCAAATATCCATTAATTTAAAAAGCTGGCAATGTGATTTACATGTTTTCTTATGGATAGCACACTGCATATGAACAAGATAGACGTGAAGCTCTACGGAAAGGAAAAGCGTATTTATGATTTAGCTAGACAGGTATAAGAGTTTATGTTGAAATTGAAACGTTGCATGATTTAAATCAATAATATTGATTTTAGCCCTAGCCTGTTTGGCTCAGTGGATAGAGAACTGAAGGGTCCCAGGTTCGATTCCAGCCAAGGGCACATGCCTGGTTGTGGACTCGATCCCCAGTAGGGGGCGTGCAGGAGGCAGCTGATCAATGATTCTCTCTCATCATTGATGTTTCTATCTCTCTCTCCCTCTCCCTTCCTCTCTGAAATCAATAAAGAAATATATTTTTAAAAAATATATTGATTTTATACATTTTTCTAACACGAAACAATATGCAGAAGATTGTAATTATAATAGACAGCATTAGGTATATTGGCTGTAAAAATTGTAAGTAAACTTTGAAGAATGCTTTGTTTATATTGATGAATCTAGAATTGCTTTTCAAATAACACAATGCTTCTTTGAATTTAACATTAAGAATACTGAGTTGATCCCTGACCGGTTTGGCTCAGTGGATAGAGTGTCGGCCTGCGGACTGAAGGGTCCCAGGTTCGATTCTAGTCAAGGGCATGTACCTTGGTTGCGGGAATATCACCAGTGGGGGGTGTACAGGAGGCAGCTGATCGATGTTCCTCTCTCATCGATGTTTCTAACTCTCTATCCCTCTCCCTTCCTCGCTGTAAAAAAAAATCAATATATATATTTTTAAAAAAAAATACTGAGTTGACATAAATGAGTGGATTTAATTTGTACAAATGTGGTTTTGAAACTGACATGTTTTGCTTCAAAATCAATTCTTTTAAAGTTAGTTTTGTCAATGTGGATGTAAACATTACAGGAAAATGATTTTTTGGTACTTAGTTTAGTTATGGGAAACTTTTAGGTATATTAAGACAACTTGGGTATGTAATCTTACCTTTTTTCAGTTGTAAATTTTATGAAATCTAAATAGAGATTAAATACTTTTCATTAAAATATAGCACCCAAAGATGTGCTATAAGGGTAAAATACATACTGGATTTCAAAGACTTAGGATAAAAAAGAGAATCTAAAATATATCATTAATAATTTTTTTACATATTGAAAGGATAATACTCTGAATATATTGGGTAAAATAATATACATTATTAACCTCAATTTCTCCAGTTTGTTTTTATTTCATTTTTTAAAATATATTTTGTTGATTTTTTACAGAGAGGAAGGGAGAGGGATAGAGAATTAGAAACATCCATCAGCTGCCTCCTGCACACCCCATACTGGGGATGTGCCCGCAACCAAGGTACTAATATATGCCCTTGAGAATCGAACCCAGAACTCTTCATTCCGCAGGCCAATGCTCTATCCACTGAGCCAAACCGGTCAGGGCTTTTATTTCATTTTTTAATGTGGCTACTATATGTGGCTCTATTGGACAGCACTGCTCTGCATTAGGTTTCATAGGAGTACTTATTTGAGAATATTCCAGCACAACAAAGAAAGAACATGGAATAATTCTTTTATTATTTAATAAATAATCTTTTTAAAAAAATATATTTTATTGATTTTTTACAGAGAGGAAGGGACAAGGATAGAGAGTTAGAAACATCGATGAGAGAGAAACATCGATCAGCTGCCTCCTGCACATCTCCCACTGGGATGTGCCCGCAACCCAGGTACATGCCATTTTCTTAACATCATTGGGTAGTGAAAACCATGATGTGTCTGAGCCTTGCAGAAACTTAGCAGGGTTAGAACCTGTGTCTTTGGAGGAATAATAGGAGTTGCATGAGAAAAAGAAGGCTCAGGTCAGATTGTGAGAAGTGTTTAAGCCATACATAGCATTTGAACTTCATTCTGTAGGCAATTGGCACTGAAGAGTTGTAGCAGCGGAGTTGTTATATCATTAGAATTGTATTCTGGAAAGATGACTGTTGAAGCCTGTGGGGCATGAATTGCAGGGAGCCAGTTATTACTGTGGAGGACAGAACGAATAAAGGCCCAAATTTAGGTAATAGAATAGGGGTTCCGGGAAATGACCAAATGTATTTAAGAAAGATTTGGTGAGGAGGCAGAAGTCTGAATTGATCCAGGGTTGGGAGTTTGCAGGGACAAAGGATGAGGGTTTGAGGGCTTGAGGGCTTGAGGATGTGATAACCAACTATGAGGAGAGGACAGAAATAAGGTGAGTGATAAAGTGAGGAGGAAATAGAGTGGTCCTCAGACTGAAGGACTATTTAAAGGGTGAAGGGTATACTTGGATATGATCCAAGAATGGGCACGCTACACATACTCTGAGTGGCCATGACTTTTACATGAACTGCCTACTGCCCCCAGCCTGCCACAAGCATCCAGAATTATTGGAGCTAAATAGTTTAAGGAACTGAGATAGGGCGTTGGCCAAATCTCCCACAAAGAAACCGAAACTCCACTGAGGATGAGACAGGCATTGCATTCAGGTGTCAAAGTTGTTAGGAAAGGTGAGCTGCCACCTGGAGGCCTGGTAGTGAGTGATGGGGCTGGATAACGCATTAACCTCCGGGTTTTTTATTAAGCCTGTGAACAAAGAGCTGAAAGTATCAAAAAGGCAACCTTCCTGTTTTCCTCAACTCCGCACTTTCAAAAGCTGACTGTTTCCCTGAAGTCAAGCTTGCCTGTTACCAAGACATTTAAACATGTCTTAGACTCCATTGTGTCATATACACCTCAGAAGCATGGCTTTTCTTCCTCCTTTTTAACATCTTATGTTTTCTATACATTCACTGCTCCTTTTAAATTTATTTATTTCAGAGAGGAAGAGAGAGGGAGAGAGAGTTAGAAACATCAACGATGAGAAAGAATCATTGATCAGCTGCCTCCTGCACGCCCCACACTGGGGATCGAGCCTACAACCCAGGAATGTGTCCCGACTGGGAATCAAACGGTGACCTCCTGGTTCATAGGTCGACGCTCAACCACTGAGCCACACCAGCCAGGCTCACTGCTCTTGTTAAATTTTAATTTTAAACGCACACACATAAAAGTTTCAAATAGTGTACAAGGAACACTTGTACACCCTTTACCCAGATTCAACTATTGTTGATATTTTGTCCTGTAGCCTTGTTAGTCACTCTCTCTTCTTTAATTTACCCATGCATATATAATTTTCCCCAAAGCATGGATTAGTTGGAGACATTATGTCCCTTCACTCCAAATGCTTTGGGGTGTAATTCTTAAGAACAGGGACATTCTCTTATATTATCACAGTACACTGACCAAAGCCAGGAACTTTAACATTGCTACAAGTTATTGTTTAATCCAGAGTCCTTGTTCCACTATTGTCGATTGTCCCCATAATGTCTCCTATGGCAATTTTTCCTTCCTGGTCCAGGATCCCATCCAGAATCACACATTATGATTTACTTGTAAAATCTCCTTCGTTTCTTTTTTTAAAAATAAGTTTTATTTTTCCATTGATTTTTAGAGAGAGTGGAGGAGAGAGCCAGAGAGAGAGAGAGAAACATTGATTTGTTGCCTCAAGCCTGCAACCGAGGTACATGGCCTTGACAGGAATCAAACCCGTGACCCTTCAGTCCGTGGGCCAAGGCTCTATCCACTGAGCCAAACTGGCTGGGGCTCTCCTTAGTTTCTTTTCATCTGAAACGGTTCCTCGGCTTTTCTTTGTATTTCTTGACCTTGACATTTTTTTTTTGAAGAATATAGGCCATTCATTTTGTGGAAGGTCCTTTATTTTGAGTTTGTCTGATGTTTCTTCAGGATTAGGTTCAGGTTGTGCATTTTTGGCAAGAAGACCACAGAAGTGATGTTGGGTCCTTCTCAATACATCATAGTAGGGGGTACATGATGTCGGTTTGGACCAATTTGAGATCTTACTAATTGTACAACAACGGAACTTTCTTTAGCTTTATTTTTTCCCATTTGGCAGGCATCTTGCATTGCAGTGCATTTTTCTTTTTTGCACAAGCATGTTAATGGGAAGTTTCTAAATTATTTTTCATTAGTTGCAAACAGCCAAAGTGCAATAACCTGGTGTTTTTTAAGGAAGCAAGTTTAAAATAACATACATTTGCATGGCCGATGTGGCTCAGTGGTTGAGCATTGACCTATGAACCAGGAGGTTGCAGGCATGATCCCCAGTGTGGGGGGTGCAGGAGGCAGCCGATCAATGATTTTCTCTCATCATTGATGTTTCTATCTGTCTCTCCCTCTCCCATCCTCTCTGAAATCAATAAAAATATATATTTTTAAAAATAACATACATTCATTTTCACTTATGGAGCTTTTATGTCAATAGGTATACTCAGATTAAAATATACTAGTATCTACTATCTATTTCAGGCAAAAATGAGAAAACTACATATTTGTAAATAATTTAGAAAAAAATGTGATTTAAGATTATTCAAGGACAAACTTCCTGACGCAATGAACATATTTTTATTATATTTCTGAAAATCGAATTGGCTTTATTAAATGAATCATAAATTGGGCAGCATCTATCTAGCAACTAGAAAGGTGCTCCCCAATGAACATATGTTTACAATATCAATATTCATATTTCCTTGAAGTCGAAGACCCTTATGATTAACATGCTGACATGCCAGGTAATCGACTCTAAAACCAGAAGAAACTATGGGTTAGTGGGAAGGACTGAATTATCATGTGTGGTGTGGATCTTAACAGTAACTGCTGCATAATTAGTTTAGGCAGATTCTCAGAGACTGGAAGAGGGGAGTCATGGAACTGGTGATGCCAAGAGGAAGAAGCTGAAAACTGAGCCAAAGAAGAGTTTAAAATAAGAGCTGTGTCAACATGCATAAATTCACTTGCTTTGAAGAAGCTGCAATGGGATCCAGGAACAGGAAAAAAAAATATTGTTTTGCCTTTGCATGCCAAAATGTAATCTCTCTTTTTCTTCTACTCTTTCCTTAAAACAACAATTGTCTGCATGTAGGATGAGTGTGTTTTAAATGAACCATTCAGTGCTTTTTGCCCCCTGTTCTCATTTCCAGTACGGAGCGGCAACATGATAGATTAGAAATTCTCTTGGCTTTAGAGTCAGACTGACCCACGTTCTAAGCCTTGCACTGCCACAGACTGCCGTGTGGCCTTGAGCAGGTTGCTTGGTCTTAGTCTCTATGTCTTTAAACAGGAAAAAAAAACTTTTCTGGGTCGGGAGGATTAGAAATGACATATATAAAGAGCTCACAGTACTTTACAAGTACTGTGGCCCCTAGTGGACATTCCATAATGGAAGTGGGACATAAGGACAGAGGAAAGAGCCCTGGCCTAGGAACTGGGGCATCATGGTCCTGGTCCCTAAGCCTTCATTTTACTATCAAGCACCTGACCTTGGGTTGCTCCCTCAAACTCTCTGGGCTTTAGTCCCATTAAGGAAGGCGTATTGGCTGGCGAGAAATACAGGTCAAGTTTGAGGGCACTAGCATGCTGCCACTAATGCAAAGAGGGAAGTTCTTCACTGTACAGCTGACTGCTGCGCTGTGGGAACAGAACAAGCAAATGAGGGATCAGCTCTGCCTGGGCTGGGGTGGCATTTGAGCTGGGTCTTGAATGCTCCATTATGGGCCTTCCCACTGGAGGAAGGAAGTGTTTCAGGCGAGGGCAGAGCCCTAAGGGTCCGGTCAGTGAGAAGCATGGTGCTGCCATGCAGTGCAAAATGGTGGCTCACATCCAGTCCCACTGCCGTCAGCTTCTGGGACTACCTCTGACTGTTGAGTTGTATCAAAGACATTTTAAGATCGGTGAACCTTCTGTGGGCTTTGGAAATCTTTTAGCTCTACTGTAGGGAAATGGTTACTGAAATGGGAATTGCCCTCTAAATCCCCAGGTACCCACCATTTGGACTGGGCAGAGGAAAGTACCAGTTAAACATCAGTCTTAACTCATCAGTAATAACGAATACTTCCACGGGGCTATCTATGTGTCAGGCACTGTTCACTGTTCTGAGTACTCGACTTCCATTAATTTATTTAAACCTCAGGATAACTGTATGAAAGTGGTGCTGTTGCCCTGGCCGGTTTTGCTCAGTGGATAGAGCATCAGCCTGCGGACTGAAAGGTCTCAGGTTCGATTCCAGTCAAGGGCATGTACCTTGGTTGCAGGCATATCCTCAGTAGTAGGTGTGCAGGAGGCAGCTGATCCATGTCTCTCTCTCATCGATGTTTATAACTCTCTATCCCTCTCCCTTCCTCTCTGTAAAAAATCAATAAAATTTATTTTAAAAAAAAGAACGTGGTGCTGTTATGATACTTCCTTCACAGATGAAGAAATGTAGAAAGATTAGATCATTTGCCAAAGGTTACCTGCAACCAAATGGAATAATCAAGATAAGGATCCAAACTTTGTGCAGTGGCAGTATCGGAGCCAAAGAGGTTTATCCGAGGTGCGATTATTGCTAATTGAAAAAAAAAAAAAAAGGATCCAGGCTGGCCAACAAAAGGCCCTGCACCTAATCATTCTGTGAACTGCTCCTCTAGAGACTGCAGAAGAAAGGAATCAATCTTATGGGAAAATAGATATTTAACTAGCACAAACAGTTGAGAATTTAGTTACATCTTCAAACTAAATGATGCACTCAGACAAGAAGCCAGGGCATTGCTTTTGGGACCAAAACACGCTCTATTATTTGCTTTGGTAGCACTTTTGATTGTGTCATGACTTGGGACACTTAGGTAATGCATTGCAACGATCAAGTCTCCCTCCCCTGTAATGTGCCATTCTTTGCCAGAAATGAGAGGGAAAAAGGAAGTGGGGTGGGCTGGACAGCATTTTATGTGGAGAAATGAGGGCTTTGTAAAGAGGCTCAAGTGGAGGTTCTCTTAAGAAAGGCTGGCCTGGTATCTTTTCAGGGCTGAATGATGGAGCTTCAGACTTCCAATCTTCCCTCCAAGTCAGGTTTTCTCAAACTGGAGGAACCCTTTGGGGGTGGGTGGTTGTGTCTTAGGGCACTGAGAGTCTGTGGGGTGAGGGGAGTCTGCAGAGTAATGGCAGGGACTGACTTGTCGTCCTTTTGTGTTCTACATGCTAGTTCTAGAAAGGCCAGCGGGGACACAAATGAGGATTATGACCAGCACGTGGAGTACTGGCTTGAAATGTCTTGAGGAAAGCCTTTTTTATAACTTATGTTTTTTTTTCTTTCTTTCTTTTCCTTTTTTTTTTTTTTTTTTTTTTTGTTAATCCTCACCCGAGGATAATTTTCCATTGATTTTTAGGGAGAGTGAAAGAGAGGGAAAGACAGAGAGAAACACTGAGGTGAAACAAACACATCGCCTGGTTGCCTCCTGCATGAGCCCCAACTAGGGCCCGGGCCGGGGAGGAGCCTGCAACCAAGGTACGTGCCCTTGACCAGAATCAAACCTGGGACCCTTTGGTCTGCAGGCTGATGCTCTATCCACTGAGCCAAACTGGCTAGGGCTAATTTACTTTTCTTAAATAATCCTCCAGAAAATTCTACCAATGAACGCTTAAAGACCTTCTGAATGGGCTGTGGACTGCCCGGCACCCTGGAGATCAGAAATATGGGGAACAGAGTGGGAAGTCACAAGGGATGGCGGTCACCCTCATCTCCCTCCCCCAACACCTGATCTCATCTCAGAGAACTCGGTCTCTCTTGGGGTCTTTGGAGTGTCGACCCTGATGTTCTATTTCTCAGTTCATCTGGAAAGACACAGATGTTGAGAGCCTACATTGGGAGTGCAAGGGTGAAATATCAGGAGTCCCGAAAGAGCTTGGTGCCTAGGGTAGGGTGTGCCTTAATAATATCAACATTCTCATGATTGTAGCTACCTCCCATTTATCAAATGTGTCATGTGGCCCAGCCAGCATGGCAAGTGGTTGTATGTCGACCTATGAACCAGGAGGTCACGGTTCGATTCCCGGTCAGGGCACATGCCTGGGTTGCAGGCTCCATCCCCAGTGTGGGGCGTGTAGGAGGCAGCTGATCAATGATTCTCTCTCATCATTGATGTTTCTATCTCTCTCTCCCTCTCCCTTCCTCTCTGAAATCAATAACAAAAATATATTTAAATATGTCATGTGTCAGATACTGCCCACTGTGCTTATCATATGTTTATTCATTTAATCCTCACAATAGCTCTATGAGGTGGATACTGTTATGAGCTTCATTTTACAGAGGGGGGATGGAGGCACAGAGGGATTGATGAACCCGTAGGAATTCACCACAGAAATGATCTGATAAAGACTGGCAATAGCCCTGACTGGTTTGGCTCAGTGGATAGAGCATCGGCCTGCGGACTGAAAGGTCCCGGGTTCGATTCCGGCCAAGGGCATGTACCTTAGTTGCGGGCACATCCCCAGTGCGGGGTGTGCAGGAGGCAGCTGATCGATGTTTCTCTCTCATCGATGTTTCTAACTCTCTATCCCTCTCCCTTCCTCTCTGTAAAAATCAATAAAATATATTTTAAAAAAAATTAAGACTGGCAATAGCTCCAGAGAGGAGAGAGGCTGGACACCCTCTCTAGGGTCACACTCCCTGATGGGGAGGGGCGCCTGCTGGTGGGAGGCAGCAGACTCACACACCTGGCTTTGGGGAGTTGTAAGAAAAGGGAGGGGCAGTATGAGACAACAGCCAGGGTTAGCAGAGGCAGAGCCATGAAGGAGTGAAGAGCCCGACTCTGGAGCCACCTGCCTGGGTTCAAGTCCCAGCTCTCCCGCCTTCTAGCTTCCTAACCTCTTTGCACCTCAGTTGACTCGTTGGTAAAATGGGGATAAGTGCACCCACCTTTCGGGGCTGTCGTAAGGATTAAAGAAGTTAGTGTTTGAGGTTAAAGAATGCCTTTCTCTGGGAAAACTGTAACCATGAGGCTGGTTTCCCAACAGCCC